CCTCCTCTCCCCTCTCTCTCCCCCTGCCTCTCCTCTCCCCTCCTGCCTCCTCTCTCTCCCCCTGCCTCCCAGTGCCCGCGGGGCCCTTCCCCCCGCCCCTGCAGCAGGTGTTCCAGGCTCCGCGGCGCCCGGGTGTGGGCACGGTGGGGAAACCCATCAAGTTGCTCGCCAACTACTTTGAGGTGGACATCCCCAAGATGGACGTGTATCACTATGAGGTCGACATCAAGCCTGACAAGTGTCCGCGCCGAGTCAACAGGTACGGCCCGGCACGTGAATCCGACTCTCGCTCCTCGGCACCCTGGAGGGGTCAGGGGTCAACAGCAACAGGAAGTCGAGTGAGAGGGAACAGTGCGACTGCAGGTGCCAGCACAGCCTGAGACACAGCCTTGCCTTCAGCAGAAGGCTCGGCGGGATGCAGGGACACGTGAGAAATGCTGGGGTGGTTCTTCCCCCTCTGGGGTGCTGTGTGCATCGCAGTAAGCAGTCTCTCTGTCGCCCCCTGCAGGGAAGTCGTGGAGTACATGGTCCAGCATTTCAAGCCGCAGATCTTTGGCGACAGGAAGCCGGTGTACGACGGCAAGAAGAACATCTACACTGTCATGGCGCTGCCCATCGGCAACGAGCGGGTATGTGGGCTGCCCGCCGGTCACTCTGCCTGATGGTCACTCTGCCCACTGGTCACTCTGCCTGCCCACGCCTGCCGGCAAAAACACGATTCGTTTCACAGATGGCAGCCACAAATCATTGCAGCCAGTTTTTAAAAACAAAAATGAGCAGGTGTGATATTCTGATAGAACAGTGTAAGAATGAGAGATATCGGTGGGTTTGTGTGAGACTTCGCTCCCCCCCATCGTCTCGCTCTCCGACCCCCAGGTGGATTTTGAGGTGACGATCCCGGGCGAGGGGAAGGACCGGATCTTCAAGGTGTCGATCCGCTGGTTGGCCATCGTGAGCTGGCGGCTCCTGCAGGAGGCGCTGGTGAGCGGGCGGCTGCAGGTGCCGCTGGACTCGGTGCAGGCGCTGGACGTCGCCATGAGGCATCTGGCCTCCATGAGGTACTTCCTGGCCTGGCTGGCTGTGGGTTTGCATAGCAGCAGGGTCGTCATGTCTGAGCACAGTCACACACACTCCTGCATAGCAATAGGGCTGTAATGTCTGAGCAGTGTCTGTTAAGGCACTTGCAGTGAGTCACACACACACACTCCTGCGTAGTGGCAGGGCTGTGCGTTAGGGTCTAGCGGGGTCATACGCAGGGCAAGTGTGTCTGCCCTGACGGTTCTGTCCTCTTTCCCAGCTTCACTCGGGACTGGAATTGCCAATAACCAGTTTGGCAAATGGCTGTACAGTATCTAAAGGTTCTTGCACCAGTGCTGTACTCAAACGATGAGTGGACCACAGTATGAATGGGGTTTAAAGTACTGTTGTGGGCTGGGAGGGCTCATGTGACTGTGTTAAGGAGTTTGCAGTGAGCAAAAACTCGATGGAGTGGTGGTGTACAGCTGAGCTGTGCTCATTCTCTCAGCCTGTCTGCCTCTCTTCTCTCCCCCTCTCCCCTGCGCAGGTACACCCCAGTGGGGCGCTCTTTCTTCTCTCCCCCCGAGGGGTATTACCACCCCCTGGGCGGGGGGCGCGAGGTGTGGTTCGGGTTCCACCAGTCTGTGAGGCCGGCCATGTGGAAGATGATGCTCAACATTGACGGTGAGTCTCCCACAGTGAGCTGGGGTCCTGGGGCTCTGCCCTGAGCTGTGTCTGTCTGTGCCTGTGTGTTGGACAGCGCAGTCAGTTGCAGGGTGGGGCCAACGCTCTTGTCTCTCTCAGTGTCGGCCACAGCGTTCTATAAGGCCCAGCCGGTCATTGAGTTCATGTGTGAGGTCCTGGACATCCGCAACATCGACGAGCAGCCCAAGTCGCTGACCGACTCGCAGAGGGTGCGCTTCACCAAGGAGATCAAAGGTGAGAGGGGCAGCCACCCGCCAGGGGGCTCCTGGAGAGGAGCTCTGGGGCACTGGGCTGCAGGGGCAGTGGGGCTCTGGGGCTCAGGGGTGCAGGGAGGGTGGGGCTCTTGGCGCTGGGCTGCAGGGGAAGGTGTCTGTTTGGAATAAGCATCAGTCGCCCGCAGATGAAGTGTTTGTTCAAAATAAATTGAGGTCCTTATTTGACCCGGGAGGATTTTGTTTCATATTAACATTAATATGAGTATATGAGTATATTCCTCAAAAGACAATTGGCAAGATCCATAGCAAACCAAGTACTTGCTCAGCACGGACAGCAGTGGGCAGCAGTGAGCTAGTCTGTGGTTCTTGGAGCTTACAGCTGTCTGACGTGGCTGTGGGGAAATTTAACACCTCCGATAACCTGCAACCCACCGTGACTTCTGACGGCCCCCTCTCTTTCTGTGCGCAGGGCTGAAGGTGGAGGTGACGCACTGCGGTCAGATGAAGAGGAAATATCGCGTCTGCAATGTCACACGCCGCCCTGCCAGCCACCAAACGTGAGTCCCTCAAGGGTGAGGGGTTGGCTGTTCTGTTGCCGTGCTTCTTACCTTCTCTTACTCACTGTGTTTTGGTAATCCTATCTGAAAGCCTGATTGTGCTGTGAAGCAGTTCTGCTAGATGTCCTGCTCTTTTCTGGCTGGCACAGCAGAGCCAGATCTCGCCAGAGTGTGGACGTTGATGTTTCCTTTGTCCCGATTCCATTCACACACCTCGGGAACGCTGGGTTTGTGCCATCGTGACACCTGCGGCCAAACCCCTCACTCAGCCACCAAAATCAAAACCAGCTCTAATCCCTGGGCTGATTTCTTCCTTGGTATAAAAAATCCTTTGTACACGGAAAGTTCAGAACCGGAGGCACTTCTTTGTGCAAAGGCTGGAGGGAGGCAAAGGGAAGCTGATATCCTGAAACAAATCTGTCCAGGTGCAGGTTCAACTGATGTCTCAGCAGTTGTCTTTCTTGCACCTGCGACTCTCGCTGGGTTGAACTTAAATCCCATGAGTGTACTGATGTAGAGTCAGGATTAAATAACCACCTCCTGTTATTCTGAGATACGTCTTGAAATCTGAGCCTGAAATAAGCTGTTTTTTCACAGAATTGTAAAGATAATGTATTTCACGGTTAAAGGATCATTGTTACAGCGTTATTTTCAGAAAAACCCTTATTCTGCTTGGAAAATCCTGGCATGTGAAAGTGAACAGGCCGTCAGAGCCTGCAGAAGAGGATTCGTCTGTGAGAAGCCGTTGGTACTGACTGTGCTCCAGACTGGGCTTGGATCGCTGTAAAAGCACAATTAACCCTAATCTGTAGCCTCCTCTCTGCAGGTTCCCCCTGCAGCTGGAGAGTGGCCAGACGGTGGAGTGCACTGTGGCCCAGTACTTCAAGCAGAAGTACAGCCTGCAGCTGAAGTACCCTCACCTGCCCTGCCTGCAGGTGGGGCAGGAGCAGAAACACACCTATCTGCCCCTGGAGGTAAGACTGGTGACTGAGCCTCACTCTCTGCTTTTTCCCAAGACTGTGCTGTGAGACTGTGGCACTTTGGCCAAGAAGAGTGAGAGACAGGCAGAGAAAGCAGACAAGAGGAAGACAAATGTGACACATTCAGACAAATATAAAATATTTGTCCCCAGATACTGTCTCTGAGTGATGTTTAGAAGATGAGTCTGGTTCAGCTGTCACCTCACTGTGCTGGAACAGACCAGAACAAGGGATCGGTCTCTGAGATGGGCCCAGGTCGGGCCCAGGTCTTTCAGTGGGGCCTGGCTCTGAGTGCTGCGCCCTCTGGGGACAGGCAGTGACCCTCTTGTGCCCCACAGGTGTGTAACATTGTGGCGGGGCAGCGCTGCATCAAGAAACTGACGGATAACCAGACCTCCACCATGATCAAAGCCACAGCGCGCTCTGCGCCCGACAGGCAGGAGGAGATCAGCCGGCTGGTGAGTGTGGCAGCTGGGGGCCACTGGGGGGCCCCTGGGGAGCCACCATTGGTTTCATCTCCTCTTTCTCTCTTCCTGTCCAGATGAAGAATGCCAGTTACAATCTGGACCCCTATATCCAGGAGTTTGGGATCAAGGTGAAGGACGACATGGCGGAGGTGACGGGCAGGGTGCTGCCGGCTCCAATCCTACAGTATGGAGGCCGGGTGAGAGAGGGGTCTGGAGTCGGGGGAGCAGAGCACCTGCGGAGGACCGAGAGGCACCAGAGCGGATAAACTCTTCACTCTGTGCTGACAGGCGTTTGTGCTGCTCCAACAGAACCGGGCCATCGCCACGCCCAACCAGGGCGTGTGGGACATGAGGGGGAAGCAGTTCTACAACGGGATCGAGATCAAGGTGTGGGCTGTCGCCTGCTTCGCGCCCCAGAAACAGTGTCGGGAGGACCTGCTGAAGTGAGTGCGCTGCTGCTTACTCAGGAGGGGGGGCAGAGCAGTGTGGGGGTGGGGTCAGTGTTGGGGAGTGCAGTCAGGTGTGGGGGGGTGAGGTCTGTGGGGTAGAGCAGGTTGAAGATACTGGTCATGATTAATGCCCCCAGTGTGTTTTGTTACATTCACTGTTCTTGCAGCTGGGCCGGTGGGCTGAGTGAGACAGGACTGGGAACTCCGGGTTGTCGCTGCTGTCTTGAACAGAAGGTCGTTACACTCAGCCAGGCGTCAGGTGGTCTGGGATGGGGTTAGAAGTGGCTCCTTTGCTTCTGTCTTTGCAGAAATTTCACAGACCAGCTGCGCAAGATCTCGAAGGACGCGGGGATGCCCATCCAGGGCCAGCCGTGCTTCTGTAAATACGCGCAGGGCGCAGACAGCGTGGAGCCCATGTTCCGCCACTTGAAGAACACCTATTCAGGCCTGCAGCTCATCATCGTCATTCTCCCAGGAAAGACTCCAGTCTACGGTACGACTGGCTTTGGCCACGTGTCTGTTTCTCCGTCTCGCTGCCCAGCTCGGTCTCTGTTCCACTCTGTGCTGCTCGTGCTCTTGCTGGCCGCTGCCTCTCTCCTCACTCTCTGCCCCTCGCTGTCTCTGTCTCCAGCGGAGGTGAAGCGGGTGGGAGACACTCTGCTGGGAATGGCCACCCAGTGTGTCCAGGTGAAGAACGTGGTGAAGACCTCCCCTCAGACCCTCTCCAACCTCTGCCTCAAAATCAACGTCAAGCTGGGTGGCATCAACAACATCCTGGTGCCCCATCAGCGGTGAGAGACCTGGGGGGTCGTGGGGTCACGTGGGTGTGTGAGGGGGCAGGGGGTTCTTAGGTGTGTGTGAGGGGGCAGGGGGTTCTTAGGTGTGTGTGAGGGGGCAGGGGGTTGATGGGTGTGTGTGAGAGGGCAGGGGGTTCTTGGGGTAGTGTGTGAGAGGGCAGGGGGTTGATGGGTGTGTGTGAGGAGGCAGGGGGTTCTTGGGTGTGTGTGAGAGGGCAGGGGGTTGATGGGTGTGTGTGA